TGAGCACGCGTTGTTCTGTCGGCTTTTTGTTCCTCCGAATAATTTTTATTCATTTAACTAGAAATTTGCCACATATAGTGCTTGTAAGTGACCATAATAAAGCGGTAACCCAATAGGTACTCTGAGTGGTACTTTTTGTACGCTGAGCGGCTGAAATCGTAATTGAATAGATCGGGTGGGAGGAGACTCGACATACTTGGAGAACGATTACCGAAGATCCGAAAACCAACTCAATGCTTTGACATTAATGTGTGCGGTGAAGCGGGATCAAGGGAAGTGACACTATTCATGCGGCGGATGGCAAATAATGTTAATCGCATCCTTCTGATGTCTTGTGATGCGCTTGCAATGCAGTCACGACGAGTGCGGACTATTTCATTCGAGACCAAGTCGGTTTACTTCACTTAACTGAAATTGTATTTATTTACTGCCAGTTTACGCTTGAAGGATGGCTCTTTGGGAACGCTACTCAATCACCTGGTTTTCACCCATTTTCTGCACGCAATGTCCAGTACTCCCCAGCTTATAGGAGGAATAACTAGACGGGCGGTCGGTACGTGTAGGGCTTTATAGCATTGGCAATAGCACATCGAGTCCATAAACACTTTCTACGAACTGTAAAAACCGTATAAGCTGTGTAAATTCAGAATATGTCGTCCTTAATCTTCATTTAGCAGCAAAGTTGCCCCGATGTTTTAAAATGTCCAAGCTAACGGTCAATAATTCCCAGAGGTCCCTTCTCTGGTTATGGATGCAGTTTGATACCGCCAGCTAGCCCATCGTTTGTGGATAAACCGACTGATCGTACGACTTCCCTCACGTGAGACACAATATTATACTCATCAATATCGCATGGCACTAGCAAAGTAATATTGCGGGTGTGGTTAAGGTCATTCAGCGAGCGTCTTGGAACATATTCTACAACGTCGAACCCATACGAAGTCATTTCATAAGTTCAATGAATCATCTAGCCTAGCAGGATGAACGAAATGATACCAGCTTGTCGAAGAACAAACCAAACTAGGTGAGGTCGCCATTTGTCAGAACTCGCAAAATAACGGAACGATCCAAGGGGCTAATCGTGACGATGATTCTGGTCGGCATGCCGTATAGGTTCACTATCCGCCACAAGGACTCACACGGAGTAGAGTCGAAATCTGTGGCGAAGACATCACAGCAGGGTGCTATTTTTTTTGCTGTCGCACAAGCGCTGCCACGCGAATACTAGGTTTGTACATCCACGTTCAGCTTACAAACCGACTTGGTAAGTTACTGCCCTTGAGTCATACACGCTCAGAAATCGTCGTGGAAAGATAATGGCAAGCAACTCTGTAATGGTAATTTTCTCATTGTTTTATGCCCCTACATAAAGGGAGGCACAAGGATGGCTGAGTCTCAATTAGCACGGACCAGCTCACTTTCCAACTTCTAGGAGCTAAAGTTCCACTGTCAGGGCAAGACGTGAAGAATCCAACGGAGTGCTGACCTATCTGGACGCCTTGTTGCACAACCTCTATAGTGCACAGACACGATACTTCTCGAGGACTTATTGTTGGGAGCCTAGCTTAACCGAATGCCAGCATAACCTTGCAGGCTGTCTTGACGCATCATACCTGTAGCCGACTGCCTACAACAACCCCTTTGTCAATGCGGACTGCCTCAAGGTCTTATGTCTTCGCTGGTGACCGCCTTCGGCCGACTGCCAACAATAGTACATTGTTCAATGGGAGCGGCCTCAAGGTCACACGATGACCTCAAACCGCAGGAACGGACCGCACACACACACACGAGCCCACGCGCGTGCCCAACTAGTCACAGTTCCTCAAGGGTCACTTAGGTGCGCCACACGACAGATGACCTTATTATAACGCGCCCAGTCATGCCACAAGCGAATACGCTTGACAATCACTTACAAGCAACTGTCACATCTCATACAGTGAGTCGCAACACGAACTGGACACAGCCAGTCCACCTTTAGGCCCGGGCTTCGCCCCGCGACAGGACATTCAGTCCTGGGCAACGCCAGCGGCACAACTGCCAAAACTATGGGTTTTGTATACAATAAACTCTCCTCCGGGTGGCTTCCACTTTTACGTCCTTCTTGGCGTGCAACTTCTTGGGGATTCCAAAAGGCGCAATTAGACGGCGACTCCACAAGTTGTCCCCGTTACAACCCCTATAAACTTTTTGAGGCAGTAGCAGTCTTATGCTGGCTTAGTCTTATGGTGATAACTGCATTAATTCTACTTGCCTATCCTAGTCTGTGGGAGTGACAGAGGTAAAACTGTGCGGGGCATTGAAGATGGTAGGTTAACAATGCAAGTAAAAAGAAAATTCTGCATATCCTCAGACTGGGAGAACTTACTCGACAATCAGCCGGAATTTGCTCTCCTCTACGCCCACCTCGGCGTCGCTGAGACGGCTGATAATGTCAGGCATGACGTTGTAGAGAGCATTTCCCTTCTGTGATAATTCACGGAAGAAGAGGCGAGACAACTGTTTGAGGCGATCATTGTCGTCTATGAGGCACACCGTCATCTCACTGATTTGACCCTTCACCTATACAGGGTTAAGTAAAGGAAGACAAGCTCTCAGTAGTGGTCATGAGGGGCGGGGGACTTGTGACATATTTTCATGACGCAAAAAAACCTGCAAACATTCCTTTCGCTCACCTTGACCATATCATTGAGGATGAGGTGACTCAGGGTGTTGAGGGCGTTTATACGCACTTTGGAGGAGGAGTCTCGCAGACGAGCATACAGGTTTGGCGTCCAGGGTTCTATGAGGTTAGGGAAACGACGTGCCAAGTCGCCCAGACCAACAACAAGATTAGCGCGAACCACCTCGGAGGGGCTCTTCTCTGCCAGCGTGAAAAGCAACTGCAGATGACGTTCACAGACCACAGCGCTAACCAGCATGAACTTCACCAGGGCCAACGATGCGGCAGCCTAGGGAATGACATAAAAAGTGCCTGTGAACATCGACGCAGAGGGCGATTTCAAAAATAAATATACCTAAAGCAAGTAGGCCGGCGGCGGCAACGACGACGGCCGTGAAAAACTCGCGTACCTGAAGGTCAGGGTCGGAGAACTTGCTCTGGTGAGTGCACACGTGGACTACCAGAGGCAACAATCGGGCCAGCATGTGATCCGGCTGCAGAAGGACTTCGTTGTCTAGTACCCGCCGAATGTAGTCGGCCTCTGCATCATCCGCCACGGCACCAACGAGACCGGCCTCCTCTTCCATGGCACTGTTATTCTGACTGTTATTCTCGCTACCCGGTCCGGATGACGTGTCTGTAGTGGACTGGAGAATAAAAAGGGCTTTCGTGAACAGATCTTAATGTCCGAGTAGTTGTTAAAAGTAGGGTCTGGGATAATCGACAAAGGTCTAACCCGCCCAGCATAATATATGCATAAATTAAGATTGGCCACTAAATGTGAGAACTGCATAGGACCACCATCCTTATGCTGAATCTTTGTCTTTTTCTACTGAGTGGGGGGACGCTTAAACAGCAACACAACAAGTAGGCTGCAACACTTATTTATTCCTTGGTAAGGTGACTTAGAGTCTATCTTACAGGGAACCTTTGGAAAGAAAGAGATTGGCTTCACATATAATAGTTCTCTGAACTCTCCTAGCATCCACAGTCATTCAATTCCACAAAGACTTCAAGCTGGGTTACATCGATGAATATATAACCCGGGTTTAAAACCGCTTTAATAGGTAAATTCTTGAGCTATAACTCGGCACGCACTGGGGAAACAATCCTTTTCGAATTCCCGAATAGTTCTATAATACTGACTTAATATTCCCCCCCCCAAGACGGACATCTTTGAAAATTTACACAAGTGGTTTTCCTCAGTCGAAATCCCCGAGACAGTGCAGGCTTTAAGAGGCATGCTTAGGAACGTACCTTGGAGGGACGTGTAGATTTGGGGGTTTTGTGCTTCTTGCGATAGTTGCTCTTCTCCTCCTGAGCAATTTCCCTTCGCTTCAGTTCATTCAGCACTGAGAACTCCAGGTAGACGAGCATCTTCATCGCCACATGACCAATAAGGGCGATGAAGCGCGTCAGCAGGAAGGAGGGTACGACCAGACTTTTGCCAAGAGAGTCAGCTGAAGATGGTGGTCGAGACGGCTGCGAAGAAGGCTGTTCTGCAGCTTCATTCGAGACCCCGTTACAGTCCTCCATCTTTGTTGCCGGAGGCGGTCCTTCTGACTTCTCATACTTTAGCAGATACTCACCCAACTCACGGATAATCTCACCGATCGCACGAGTTGGAGTGTCAATCAGGAGAAATATGGTTGCCACGGCCTGGCAGAAAACAAAAGAGTACAAGAAACACAAACAAGACATTATTAGGACTTTTTAATAGGGGTAACACTGTCCAACACCAGATTAGATGTAATCAGAAAGTATGGTGGCCCCTATATGCGAGTGATCAGGGTCGCATTAAAGTGAGATATGAGTGTATAAACAAGACACTTGGCTTGGTTATGGGTTACAGATACTGACAAATACGGTGAGACACAGAACAAAGCTTTTTTTGCATGCGCCCCTGCCCGTATGCCCACATCTTTCCGTTTGAAAACACACAATTTAGTGCTGCCATGGCCTTCGCAAAATATTCTTTTTCGAAAATGGGACCGAAATCGGAGGAATAACCATAAAAAGGTGTACAATAGTCTCAAAAATGATAAGCATTTATTCACGTCTAGGAGGCTAATTTCAATGAGGAACAGGAGAGCACCTCGAAAGGACGGCGGAGTCTGTTGAGAAAGGACTGGAAAGCCATTTTGAATCGCGCACGCTAGTATGTCGCCTGTGAAAAACATTCACGAACCAAGGTCATTCCTGACATCTGATAGGCAGCACAAATAATTTCGGTTTAAAATGTAAAAGGAGACTGCCGAATAGTTACCGCTTATCAAATTAGCATATTGGGAGTTTCTAAGGGTCAGATTTTAGAAATATTGTGGAAACACTGAAAATTGGATTCTAAACTGACCTGTTCCATGAGTGGAATCCAGTCGATGCGCGTGGGGGAGGGAAAAGTAGAAATGAGCAGCTTTCGTAGGCAAACACACAACTGGTGTGACGTTGGAAGTCGGAAAGGCTCAAGAGACGGGTTTGCAGACGGAGTCTTTGTCGATGCTTCCTTCGAATACTTTTGAGGCTTCAGGTGGGAAAAAGAGGAGGCCGAGTAAATACAGTGAAAGGGCAGTTAGTTACTTAGGCAGGTAGCAGTGCCGATTGACGGCGCGATTATTACGCAAACTCTGAATACACGCGTCTGAGGGAAGTCGCGAAAAGCTGTTGAAAGTAGTTAAAAACCCCGTGATTCGTTATTTCCCGGCTGGCAGTGTTAGAATAGGAATGTCTTTCTCGGCCGATAGGATCGCCGCTCCCAGGGACATCCCCCGATGGCTAAGAAGACGGCATCAGGCGCCATAATGGTTGTTATCGGCGCAATGGCTCACAGTTGTACTGTGTCGACCGCCAGAGATTTCCTGGATGAAGTTGTCTCCATTAGTTGTTTTCCGCTGTCGGGCGCACAGACTTGTGCTAGAATTTGCACAAATTCCGAAGAGGCTTGGGAAGTGCTAACCCCACCGCCTCTCAAAGGTGATGTATTCGAGCTTGCGGTCTGACTCCACCCACTCGCCCTCCGATTGTATTTACCAGAAATAATGTACATGCCGACGCATTTTTTAACCATCATTAGTTACTTAATTAAAATGTTGTAACTGATTTCGCCAAGGATAAGTATTCGGGGTATAGTTCCTCCTTCCAAGCTGGGAATCAAGTAACAGAAGTATAAAACAGAAATTATCATTTCGATTTGGCCTTGTAGTTTTGTTTCCTTCAACGGCTGAATTGTCGTCGACACAATAGGATAAGGGCGTATAACTACGCGTATTAATTGGCTTATGCTATATAAAAACAGATAGACGATCCATTTTTTGGTCATTAGTCAGTTAAATACTGACTCCGGGCCGAGACAATGAAGACGTGTTCCAGCTGGTTATTAAACTTTAAGTCATATCAAGCAAGCCGTGGGTTCGAGTCAGCGATTGTGATTGGCGATCAATTCACAATCCTCACAGGCCGTAACGCAGGGATAAGCAAATGATCATTTTAGCCTCACTACCGCAAGTAGTTAGGAGTTGCACTGGATTTCAGCAAACAGCGAATACCTCTCGTGAAGTGTGACTATTAAAGAACCTGCTTTAATAAACGAATATGATCACGACTTCGTCCATGATAAAAGTCTCTAGCAAGGTTGAGGGGAACAAAAAATCGTCCTTGCACATCAAATTGTCCGGCTCGTAGATATTAATGCAAGCACACCTAATGGGTACTGGAATCGGAAGAGATTTGAGCAAATTGTGCAAGCAAAGTTAATGCGGACTGTCTAGTATGAAAATTCGGCAACTCCTTGGTCAAGTACAGCTCCCCATTCCTTAATTATATTCTGTAAAAGACAAGTCAGACAAGGTTATGGACCGCTAATGTAGAGTCATTCTATGCACAGGAAGAGGATGAAGATGGATTAGACTAGGCAGTCACAGAATCAGCCTGGAAAAAATAGGTAATATCCTCAGACAAGCATAATATGTGAGCAGGAGGATACTAAAATAACCCGAATATTACGCATAAATAATTAAGAAAGGTCAGATAAAGAAGAGCACAAGTGGAAAGGGAGATCTAAGAAGATACTGTAACTACCTTCTCACTCGGAGCTAACTTCTGAATGACGATGCATGCATGCATTGCACAATCCAAATCCACATTGAACCCGCTCAGGTTGCCGAGGCCATAATTTATGAGGTCATCCAGATGATGCATAAGGGCTGAGCGTCCAGATCTAGGGATTTAAGAAAAAAGTAAAGCGTTACCAAAAGGGAATGATGACCAACAAACATGACGAAGAGCTTCGGATGAAAAATATAAAGATTTCTTGATACTCTATAGACTAAAAAGCGATATTTTTGTTATGGCCGTGCACTTACTCTGCAGTCATTTGGAGAAGAATAAGCAATGCCTTGAGTTCTTTGTCCCGGTCAAAAGAGCCACAAGGTTGGGATCGGGAAGCGGCCAAATCAATAAAGCGGGTCCATAGTTCCGATTTCAGATCCTCGTCGACATGACCCAGGCGAAGCAGCTCATTCAGTATGCGCTCGAGGCTGACGAGGTCACCGAGGGAAGACTGACAAACGAGCTGAACCAGTGCGGAAATGACAACAGCCAGGGCTGCGGGTGAGAGGCGTCCATCTGCGGTGAAGGACTCATTCACTAGGTCAGGCTGAAAGTACAGGCGACTGTCCAGAAAGAAAAAAAAAGATTACAACTGCCGTCATCAAGGGGAAAAGTTTATGAAAACCGGTATAAAAGGGTGTACTTGTTCTTCCAATTCGTATACTGATCAATAAGAAATTAGCTGCAATTAATATTGCGGGAAGTCAGCAGCACAGCGGCTAGTGATATACGACGAATGATATTACTGACAAATACGACAGACTGGGATGATCGAGTTTGACTTACTATCTGTCATCATCATCAGGTTTTGCAAAGCCTGAGGCTTCAATCAGTCGTAATCGATATGACACCGATCCGGTAGGTCAGCGGTTAGTGGTGGACTTCTAACCAACAGGTCGCGGGTTCGAAGCTCAGGTTTTGCAACACCTGGAATTCATATGGCTGGCTGATGACGCCTAATAAACTAGAAATTGGCACTACAGTCTCCCTTGTCTCGGCCGACAATGTTGTTATACGGAACACTATACTACTCAGCAGTTAATTTTTCAGCACTGAGCAGACATTGGCGAGGTATTATATGGCTTGAGGCGGCTGCGTCGTCTACTGCCACAAAATATTGAG